TTATTGATTCAAATATCTCCTCACAACAATTAAAAGGGAAATAAATTCTTCTTTTTATTTAATATTTGATTTAATTATCTTTAAAGATCACATTATTATCACCTTCTGCAGAAAAAGCATAATTAAAAGCACCCAGCAACATCAATAGGGCTACTTGTTTCCAGTGTACTGACCTCCACCCAATTCACGTGGGAYGTTTTAAATGATTATCAGCAGCAAAGTTCTCCTCGACAGCAGGGGTGGAAAAAGCTTCAAAGACTGCTTAAAAGGTTTACATAAAACTTTGATAATAAGACTTAAACTGCCGGTCGTTTAACAAAGTCTCATGGTAGCTGAGATTAACAGTGTGTGTTCATATGATAAGAAGTGATCAGTACATTATATCATAACTTCGTTCCCTCTCCCCTTAGACTTGCTTAGTTTTACTTTTGTCATTGTGGGCAGAGTTTTATTTTTTGTTCTGAATGTGTGTGTATTTACAGCATTTTAATTTATGATTGTGCGATTTGCTCAATTTATTTTTCATTAATCACATTTTTTTTCTTAAAAAATGCTGTGTATATATAACTGTTTTTTTAGACGTTGAAGTTATTAAACTAGACTAATAAAAACAGCTTTAGTCCCGCAAAGATGAAGTGACGTTAGCAATTGCAACCTGTAATTCTTAGTCTGGAGCACATATTGATTTGTGTCAAGAGACGAAAATGAAAAATCACAGCTGAGACAAAAATAAAAGTGCTCTAAAGCTAAATGTAAAGCGTTACTGGTGGGGACTAGAAATGGGAGGACGGTTTGAAAAGGCCGTTTCTGGTGGATATCATGAGCCTAATAGCTTACTGATCAATAAGCTGGTGATATTAATACTGTGGAATAGAATAAAATATTTATTAGTGTCTTTTATGCAGTGTTTCACACTGATTCTGACCCTTGTTGCATGTTTTAGCTTGTTTGTTTTTTTTTAAATATCGTATTGACTTGTCCTAATGATTTAAATTACAAAATGCAATTATTTCAAATTGTTAAAGGGAATTAAAACTAATGAAACATTTTGAAAAACCATGTTGGATAGTAAACTTTTAAATTAGGCAGTTTCTCTTTGCAGTCGCGTTTAGTAATGAATATTTCAGTACTTCAGTTTGCTGCTTGATCACAAGTTTTTTTGCACATACAGCCTGCTGTTGCATCCATTTTATTGGAAAATGTTCCAATGGATTTTCTTTCACATGCATTTGTCACGTGATATGGGTCAGTCACATTTACCAAGAAGTTTGATGCTTTTGCAAATCACCAGTGACTCGTATAAAGGCTCAAGCTGTGTAATGTAATGCCTTTTGCAGAACGCTATTGTATTTTACAACGAGTGTGCGGGGCTTAGACAGTGAAATGTACAGAGTGATTATTTTGATCCCAGGGCCCACTTGAGTGAAACTACCCTCGCCCTTCTTGCTTACACCACGTCTCCATTACCTATTGATTTCTTCCCCTCAGAAATGCCCAGCAAGGTCAGAGACTCCTTTGAAGTCCTCAGCTGTCTCCACTCCTTCTCGGCCTCTATTATCTCATGTCTGCTCTCCATGTTTTCTTTCTTCTTAGTCTCTTCTCCCAGGCCTTCTTCTCACTCTGTCAATCATGCATGCCCATATTGACTGGGGCTACCTGGGCTGAAACAGTAACGCAGTTCTTTGAGGAACGAAAGCAGTTGATGTGTGGAAGAGCAGAGCTCGCTATCCTGCATACTAACCTGGAATTTATGCTGAAGCTATAGGGGAAAATGAAGACAAACAGATGCATTCTGTTTTAATTTTGCCCKATATTTTCACACAAGTCGCAGTGAACTTTCTTTTTTTACCTTTGAATTAAGAAAATGGTAGCATGAACTTAATACTTTTGGTATTTAAAGTTTTTATTTTTACTATTCTTATTTTTAGTCAAGGATTTTTTTAAGTTTGAGGGAGTTTGAGGKTTTTTTTTCAATTAAAAAGTTTGAAGTTGAGTGCAATCTGAGGTATAAAGAAGCAGATGGGCAAGCTTATCTGTTCATTTCTGCATCTGTGTGTCCTTCTGTTGTGTGTGTTTCATTGTTTTCATGTTTTTTTTCTGCTAGTGTTAGCCTTACCTCAACGAATAAGCTCAGCTGCTAACCTCATACGTTTTCATTTGTGCTGCTCAGCTAAACACTGGAACTAAGTCTGGAAGCCATCCAACACCTTGACTGTTTTTCGTAAACAACCGCTAAAAACGCTGAGCGAAGAGGAGGAACATTTGGCTTTCAGAGGGCAGAAACAGAGTGATGACAAAAAGGCTTGAAGACAGGATGAAATGAATGGTTATAAATTGTAGAACAAGGCAAAGAGCCCAGATTGATCAGAGATATGTGGACCAAGAGTAGCRCTTAAATCTGAAATTCCAGGTTATTAAATTAAATTCATTTTCACAAAAAAATCAATAGAAAGTCGAAAAGCTCGTGTTTTTGCCATCTGTTCTGCCTTTGTTTTATTTTGTTTAATTMTTTTGTCTTCCTGCATAAAATCACCTCTAGCTTTCCTAAAAAGTTCAATATCCCACMCACAAATTTCCCCTCATGAGCCTGTCCTTCATTTGGCCTTCCAGCTAATTTGAACATTGAGTGAGAAGAGCCCGAGCCAGCAGTGGAAGGAAAATCAGGATTCGATTGATGGAGAAACGGACTGAGGAGTCACACATCTGGAACACTGCTGTACTTAGAGCCAAAATGTGATTTWATATTAATGAAGAAAAACAAATTTCATCTTTTTTTCTTTCCTTAGGATGACCTGTAAAAGAGAGATGATCTATTACAGCATTCTAAATATTATTTTCATTGTATATTTCTGTTTTATCCTCTACTTTAAAWTGCAAGCCCTGCCTATTTTTTGTTGTTTTACCCTGGGCACCAATGAGCGTAATAAACCACGTGAAATGTGATTTGGGTGTCTCGCCTGTCCAGGTAAACAAAGGCTCCCCCTACTAAATACACGCATAGATTGGGTGCAGTCCCGGCTCCCTCCCGCATTTAATGGATTACGTTTCATCCCGTAGGTGGGGGCTTCAACCCAGYCTGGTCACAGCTCACCCTCCCCTCTTGCTACACAAAATCGACATTGCTTCAGAGAGAATCAGTCTGCCGCAATATGTTGTTGAGGGTRGGGAAATGTGCGCCCCTGGCATTTGAGACGGCCCTGCGCCAACTTACGAGATGGCCAACAACTCCTTGTATCAGTCAGTGCAGTGAAAACAAAAGCACACTCAGTRGTTTTGTTTTAACATTTATAGGGTACACATTTACTTGTTCCTTTTTTGTGTGTTTGTATGTATACGCTGTTTTATTCTTTTATTTTGTTTGTGGGCTGAATTTTTATCATGCTTTTATGTATCATGTCAATGTCTTTTTTTTTTTCATTTTTAACTTTTATGGCAGTTTTAGGTAATTTGGTCCGTGTTTTTCATGAGATAATTAGATTACCTCAACTGTTAAGATGAGAATGTTTTTTTTTTTAATTAAAGACTGTCTAATATTAGATGACTTTGAGACAGTTTTTTTATTTTTTTATCAAAGCTTTATTTGATTCAGGATCAGTTATACTTTGGCCTTGATTTGTTCCCTTTTTTCACCAACAAGTGGTGCAAGTTAAATAGAAAGTAACGTATGTGTTATGTTCTCATCAGGCCAGTACTGACCTCCCTATTCTGAGGTCCAGTTCATTTCAGGTTCAAGTTTAGAATTTTAAAACYTGTCTAAAAGTCTTCTTGTTATAACAGCACTTTTCTTATTCAGACTTTAACACCCTCCGGCCAGAAACACTGACACCTAAAATTCAAATGCTATTAAATATTGTGAAACAGATTAGTTTTTCATGTATGAATAAGACATTTAGAAAATGAGCAGATTACACTTTTTAAAGGAGACATAATGCTTTTAAATCCTTCTTTTTCACATTTAAATCATTCAGTTYAAGTTTATATCAAGTGGAACTGCAATGCWTTAGTCTGAATACCTCYTTGTTGTAACTCCATGAGCTCCTCTTACACCCCTTTTCTGAGGCGTGTCWCAAAGTAACTCGTTTTGATGCYGTTCCTTTAAATCCAACCGAGGCGCTTGRCACCACTCCAACTTCCAAACTGGTCAATTCAAGTTTGGTAGAGGGGTTTAGTGCTAWATAGCRGCACAAAAACTTATTTTTTGCCRTTTAATTAAAATATATCAACAAGGGAAGACTTGTCCATCCAGCCTTACGTCTGAGTCAGATCTGAGTCAGAGCCAGAGGAGAAAGAACTTGATAAAATTGTAGCTGGTATGTCCACACCTTATTTGGCAGTTTTGTTGCAAATTCTGTGACGCACTCTTCCATTGCCCCTCATTTCCTGATATCTTTGTTTGTGTGAACCTGTTATCTTGGTTAATTTTCCTGCCAGGGGAGCTCAAGTGGAGCCCAAAAGCTAGAGGTTGGTGCTAAACTGGGTTTGGCAGACACTGATGTTCTACAGGCTGTCACTCAGTCTCAGGCCTGTCCTCAGAGATAAGACCCATGGCCTACTTAGGCTGATCGATGATGAGATCCATACAAACACTCTCCCACTCAGTTTGCTCTTTTTGTCTTTGTCATTAACTTGCTCTCTTTTATCTGAATTTTACTTTCAGAATCCTYGTCATACTTATTAGAAAGTAAAGATAAGCTTTATAGAACAGTATGGGCTGAATATTAATGTGACTCAGCATTGACACATCTGTTCCAAGGTTCAAACCCCTGAATAACACTGATATAAAACATGCCTTCCAAAACATACGGTGCGAGCTGTATATAAACTATAAAAACCTAAAATCACAGTAATATTAGTGGCTTCCCTTCCTTGAGTCTCAGTCAAAGTTATTACTGTCATAATGGAAATATGAAATAAACATATGTTTTGAAAACTAATGTTTCATCTCATAAATTCACAGACTAATCCATTGTTCCCTTTTCCATCCCCTTATGTTCTCCTAGCTAAAGTCAAGTCAAAGTGTGCGCCCACATTCTTTGCCTGCGCTAATGGTGTCCACTGCATCATTGGACGATTCCGCTGTAACGGCTTCACCGACTGTCCTGACGGGAGCGACGAGGAGAACTGCAGTAAGTCACACACACATGTGCACTGTAGCATTCAGAAGCTTCAGGCCATGTTCACAATCGGTAGCAGTTTGTTCCAAGATGTCCCATCCTCCAGTCATAACAGTTTATGGATGGAAGGCTACCAAAAATCCTACTCCTGTCTTTGAGAAATGAAATGAATATTCAAAGTCTTAAGGGCAGAATCCAGCATTTTAACACATTAATTATCTCATTCATTAGCTATGTTTACATGGACACCGCCAGTTGGAATAAAAATGTGCCATGTTAATGCCCCCAACTGAAAAATTCCAGTTTATTTCAGCTCGATCRGAAGGGATTTATAATCCGAATTAGAGGGGTGGTTTATGCCGATTAATAATCCGAAGCGTGCGTGTAAACATTTACTCTGATCAAAAACTATCCTGACTACACATGTGCGCACTACATTAACCTGCTGTAACCAGCCTAGCTAGATGCTAATATATCGGGGAAGCAAATTGGTAAAGYATTTCTATTAGAAACTTTGAAAGAGCTCAAAATTATTGAACGGCTTGATGGTTGAAGGTGTAGGAACGCAGTGTTATTTAGTACACGAGAAGTTTGAGGAAGAACAAAATTATCACAATTGTAAAACCACTTGTTCTGTGTTTTTCAGTACTTCTATTCCGATTAAAAGCCTGGTTTGTGTTAAGATTTAMTTATGTTCGGATTAATTAATTTTGTGCCYGTATAAATGATAATACATTGGAATTATGTAATCCAAAAACATTTCAATCACTTCAATTTTGTGCATGTAAGCAAAGCCACTGTGCACAGTTCTGATTAAACAACACTTTAGCRAGTTTTAAATGATGTTGGGACACTGTTTCAAAAGCTATTTAAACCAAAGTGCCAAGTTGTTTATTTTGCTAATTGCATTAATACAAAATAATGTACAGCGGGTAAAATAAGTATTGAACACTCCACCATTTTTCTCAGTAAATATATTACTAGAGGTGCTAATG